TATTCCGCGGGGTGTCCTAGAACAATTCTCACTACAGATAGTCTCAGATGAACATGTGGCTGCGCTTTGTACAGCAGGAGAAAGAAAGAAAATCATCCTCAAGTTTCAGAGACCTAAATATGTCGCCCCTAATGCTGAGCTGCAGCCCCCTCCCCAGGTCCTGTGATAGAGAGATCTTCTGGGTCCCTTGTCACCCGGCAAAGGACACAGCTCCGTTGCACCATCAGGTGACAGGTACAGCTATTGTTCAGAGCAAACTGATCACTTGATCCCAGCGAGCAACAATAAATTTGAGTCACAACTGGTCATGCAGATGACGGTCAGCCACACCATTTTCCGCAGAGCCAGGTCAAATGACGCTGTGCTCCTCCACAGAGGACATGTTCTCCTTGTGATGTCCACTGTTCCCCTCAGAGATAAGCTAGAAGGCACTGGGGTGGGGTGGGGTCAAGGATCAGGCTTTGTTTCTGTCTAGGTATTCTGCCCTTTTAGGCAAAGACTCTTTTGGCCTAGAAGGCCATCCACATATCTGGAGAACACAAGATAGTTATTCTAAAATTAAACGTAAAAACAGCAGGAAACAAACCAAAAACACAAAGTTGTAGAAAACTGACATATCAAAGGTACATGGCTCGAGTTGATGCCAAATAAAATATGCTTTTGTGGCGCATGGTATTTTTAACCAATTAATCCATATTAAAACATGCACTGTGGTTCCTGGGTTATGTGTACGTCCTCTTATGCGATGGGTGTTTTCCATGAACATAGTATGTTATGCAATCACCAGTAGATAGAAGCCATTCCTCCCTTTCGCATGTTGAAACTGTGTCGGCTACACTTTCTATGTCATGGCAATAAAAACATTACCCCAGTGAGCCATGAGTTCTAGAGATTCCCTAAATGTCTGGCATGAAACCCAAAGGTCTGGGTTCCAGGTTTTGCTTGGCCTCTTTCTAGCTCTGTGGCTTGGGTAACTAGTCCTGCCCAGCTAGAGCTGGAAACAGATCGCAGGCCAGATGCTCCATTCCTGGGTCCCCATGTGATGATGAGGGCTTGTTAGTTACCAGCCAGGTTTCTATCAGTACCTCCCGGGTGTCCTTGCTTTAAGTTAAACAGTAAATCAGATACAGTCACTCCCAGCTTCAAATTCTCCACCATGGCTCCATCCAGTGCCCTGGCCTGGCCACATGTGACCGCTGAGCTTCTGTTATGTGCCTGAACACCACTGGGATGTCCACTCAGTGGGACACATACACACATACTTGCACATACTCCCACATGTAGGCACACATGTGTGTGAGCATAAACACCCAAAAAAGAACACAGATCATCTCGGTAATATCAACCACAGGTGGAAAAGGCAACATTTTGGAAAAGGCAACAGATTAAGCAAAATGTATTAGAAATACTTTACCTGCTTCTTTTTACATTATTTTCTGTGACTATTAGATATTCCTTAATGACCTATGGGGCACACACTACGTCTCAGTTGGAAAAGACAGATCTTTAAATTCCCACTATTCTCAGAAAAGAGAATAAACTCCTCAGCATATCCACAGGGCCCACTAGAATCTAGTCCCTGCCCATCTCCTGCACTCTCCCGCCAAGGGATCCTCAAGATCATGCAGACACATGAGCCCCAGTCCCTACCCACCCACCTACCCACTTTGGTCTCATAACTCCACCCTCATGGAATGTCCTTTCCAGGCAGATCTACTCCAGCTGACTCATTCTACTTCTTCGGGTCCCAGCTCACATGTCACTCCTCTAGCAGTGAGGGCTATCTGATCTCAAGGCACCACACCTCCTGGGAAGCTATCCTCCATCTTTGTCCTCTGAGGTGCTCACTACCACTCCCAGTTATCTGATTATCTGTTCACCTGCCTGGCACCTGTACCCCACCCCCCATAGAATAGAAGCTATGTGAGGGCAGAAACCCCTCCTGTCTTATCACTGTCTGTCCTGTCCTCAACTAGGGTCTAACTAACCCCTGTAGTTCTCAGTTCAGTGGTATGTGGGAGGGTGGATTTATGGATGGACAGATGGATGGATGGATGGATGGATGGATGGATGGATGGATGGATGGATCAATGAATGGATGGATGCATGGATGGATAGATGGATGCATGGATAGATGGATGGGTGGGTGGATGGATGGATGGATGGATGGATGGATGGATGGATGGATGGATGGACCAATGAATGGATGGATGCATGGATGGATAGATGGATGCATGGATAGATGGATGGGTGGGTGGATGGATGGATGGATGGATGGATGGATGGATGATGGACAAATGAATGAAGAATGGTGAAAAGGGTAGGAGACTTAAAGACCAGGCTCCCAGTTTGGGCAAGCCCAGGGAAGCCACCACCATCTCACTGGCTGTGCTCACCCCTCCCTGTAATCGGTTCCCCAGAATCCTCAGGGGGGAGGCAGGGGAATGAGGTAAAAGGACATAGTGTAGAGGTACAAAGACTGAGCTGGAATCTGCCACTTATTGATTGTATGGCTTTGGGTAGAGTCCTTAATTGTTCCCCAACTCCGAGTAAGATGAGAACTTTGCCAACCAGGGAGCCCAATGATACTTCTTACACCAAGACATTCTTGAAAGAGAGGGACTCTTATTTCCCAGGGGATTCCTTGGGAATCTATCACTGGCCTTAGCTTAAGGTCAGTACCCCAAGGAGGTGAATGAAGCTTCTTTTAAGCCCCAGAACCACAGCGTAGTGAGCCTGAGGAAAATCAGATTGCTCCACAGTCCTGACCTGGAAAGGACAGGCCATTTTCTTTCTAGCTGGGCCTGAGTGGTAAGAACCATATGGCCCCATTATCCAGAACAGTCCTAAATCACAAGTCCCTGTCCAAGTGTCCAGCCAGCATCTGAGGATAGATCCCCTTGAACATCTGGCTGAACATCTGGCAGGTGTCCAGAGTTTGCTACCTGGACATCTCGCAGGGGTTAAAGTGGCACAGTTCACATTCTTAGCTAGAGAGAAAGCAGGTTCCAGCAGGCCACCTCACTGCCCACCACAGGCCCTTCTCCAGGAAGGAGGCATGGGCCACCCCCAGTGGTCACTCCTGCCTCCTTAATCAGAAGCAGGGCCAAGGGGAAATAAACAGAAAGAATGGGGTCTTGAGTTTGGAGCTCAACAGCGTTAGGGTTAATAAAATTAGAACTCCTCCACAGAACAACATTTGTTCAAGATGGGACAAGAAGGGTGGCTGGGAAGCGAGTGGGAAATGACTTCACCGGGAAGGCCTTCTGCCTGGTGTGCAAGGGATAAAGCTCGCTTTGTTATCCCGCGGGCTTCTGTTCCGGCAGCTCTTAAACACAAAGCACCCAGCCTGCCAGCTCCGCTGCGAGCCACTACCGTGGAGTTTGCCACTCAAGGAGCTGCGCACGGGACACCTCCAGGCCAGGCTGCGCTGGCCACTGTGTTCACACGCGGGTTGGCACGCAGCCCACCTGGGAAGTCTGGACAAGCCAGACCAGGTAGAGCACCGGGCTGTCTCTCCCCTGTCCCGCCTCAACAGGGGCCACCCCCCTTCATTCCACCCACAGCTTCTGAGCATCCATCACCAGCTCTGGGGCCACAGCGCAAGAAAGCAAGACAAACCCCAAAAACACCGGGAATCGAGCCAAGAAGACAAAGGCCACCCCTCATGTCAGCCAAGGGGAGCACCAGGAGAAACCCCTTTCCAGGAATGTGGACAGGAGATCACAATTTGGGTCCCAGCGAGTTTGAGATGATGTCCAGAACCAAGCTGGAGGAAGCTTGTGGGAGAGAAGACCCTCCTGTAAGAGAAGGTCCTAGAATGTGCCCTGAGCTCCCAGTCTCCTCAAATCAGCCCCGGCTCATGTGCTGTGAGCCACCCTCAGAGCCCCTGGCGCCCTGGCTCCTGGCGGGCGCTGCCCGGGCGGGTGAGGCCTGAGAAGCGGGGGGCAGAGCAGGCCTGGGTTGGGTCCTCCGCAGGGCAGGGGCATGTGCCTGCGGACCCCAGTCTGCAGAACCAGAACCAGCTCAACCGAGCCATGTGGGTCAGGGGCAAACAGGGCAGCGGAGGGAGGACGTGGCTGGCCCCTTGGCAGGGCTTGTGCTGTCAGAGGCTCCTGGGGGGGAGAAGTGTCCCCCCCAACCCGCCTGTCCACACCTGCCCGTCCACACCCGCCCATCCAGGTGCCCGTCCACAGCTGCGGCCTGTCCGTCCCTACAGGGCCCTGACCTCGGGCCCCGCCTCCCCAGGTGCCTCTGGCGGGAGGTTCCAGACGATTCCTCGGGGAGAAGGACGGGTGGCCCCGGCCATGCCCAGCCCCTCAGTGACCCCCAGAAAATCCTCAGCTGCCAGGCGGGAGCCCACAAGGTGCCATCTGGGGCGCTGCGGCCGGGACGCTCGAGCTTCCCAGACGCCGAGTTTACCAGAAGCAAAAGTCGCGGGGCCGCACCTCCCCTCCAGGACTTGGGGGGCCCCCGCCGGGAAGGTCAGCGGGAGCCACCGCAAACCCCACTCGCCCCTGACGGCGCAGCACTGGGGCGGGGTGGGGGGGGGAGGGCGGCCCGGAGTTTATTTTTGGACCCGGCTCACTAAAAATACCTCCCGCCTTCCTGGGGGAGGCGCCCCCCGACCTGGGGGGGCGGCAGCGGCCACCCCTCCCTCCCGCGGCCCTTTAGGGGGGCCGGGCGTGGGGCGGGCTCCGGGCGTGCTCGGGACAGAGGTGCCCCCCCCCCCCCCGCCGCCCCCCACTCCACCCCCCAGAGCCCCCCGCCCCCCCCCCCAGGCTGGGGCCGCCGCTGACGTCAGGCCCGCTGGCCCCGGGCCTGGGGGCGGGGCCGGGCCTGGGGGCGGGGCCGGGCCTCCCGGGCGGCGCCGCGCTTGCTGATTGGCCGGCCCGGGGGCGCCCGCGCCCATTGGCTGGCGCGCTGCCCGCGGGCGCCGCTCGCGCTTAAAGAGGCCCCGCTGGGCTCCCGCCGCTCACCCGCCGCCCGCAGGACCCGGCCCGGGACCGGCCCAGGACCCGCCCGGCGCAGAGGTGAGCAGGCCGGGCCGCCAGGCCCTCCTCCCCGCGCCGCGCCCCCGAGCCGCGCCTCGGACCTCGGGGTCAGGTGTTGTGCTGCGCGATGCTCGGGCACAGGCAGTGAGGTGACGCTTGTTCTGATGGCAGTATCGGGGTCCGCGGGGGTGCCAGCCCCCTCCTGTCTCCCCCTCCGGTGATCGAGGGGAGCTGGGGGCGCTGTGTGGACTCGGAGTCTCCCCTGTGCTGTCACCCTGGTGTCTTGCGCTGACCCCCCCAGCCCCAGGTCTCTCTAGTTGGGGGCAGTGGCGGTGCCAGCCCTGGGGGCTACCCTGCAGGTCATGAGAAGCCACTGGAGAGAGGACTGCCCTGCCCCAGGGGCTGCAGTGCTGGGGGCCACCCCTGCCCCCAGGGTCTGCATGTTTCCCTTTCAAGAAGGGCTGGGGCGCCCCGAGGTCACGCTGAGCCGTGCAGGCCCCAGGCCAGGCTCCCAGCACCAGGCCCCTGCGACTTACCTGCCTGTGGTTGGGGAGGTCACCTGCCGGGTCACCAGACGCGTGAGCAGGAAGGGAGCAGAGTCAGCCCAGGCCAGGAGAGTAGGTGCCGCAGGCCGCGGGGTGCTCCTCAAGCCCCCCACCCTGCCTCTTCTCAGCTGCACCACGTTGGCCAAGTCCTGAGTCTTGCTGTCTGTCTGAGCGGACCTGGGCTCTCCTAGCAGAGTGACAGCGCTGGCGCCCCGTGGGTTAAGCCGACCACTTTAAAGTCCGATTCCAGAGGAACTGGTCTTTCATGACCAATTTTGCCGTTGCCTGTGAGGTAGAATAAGAGGCAAAACAAGAAAATGCATGTCAGAACCAAATTTAGGATACACGTGAGCCTCTTAGCGGCCGGACAGCCCCACCTCTGAGTGGTCACCGCGCCCTGCCTGGCTGCCCTGCCCCAGATCCCCACCCCAGGGTCTGCTGGACCCTTCTGGATGTGCGCCCCACGCCCACTTCACCGGCCATCTCTGGAATGTACCGTGTCCCCTTGCACTTGCGGACTGTTTGCAGAACCAAGTCCTCTCTCCTGTGGATTCTCATGACACTGCAGGCCTTTGTCGAGTACCTGTTCCTTTCTACCTGGTAGTGAGTCACGCATTGCGGCTCTTATTTCTCTGCTCATCTTCCCGAGCTCCTTGGGGGCAAGCTTTCCTTCCTCATCTCCGTTCCCACAGAGCACGCGATACACAGCAGGCCTCCAAAAGTCACGAGTACCCCCCCTCCGCCCAGCAGCTCACAATGTCCGTGTGCAGCACATTTTGTGTGTTAATGTCTTTAACTTGGAGCCCTGGGATATTTGTGTATCTGAACCGCCTCCCCAAATTCAAAGTAAGAGTTCAGAGCTGAATGCTGTGCTCCAGGAAGTCAGCTTTTGGCAGGTTTTACTGCATACCGGTCCAGAGTCCCTGTAAAGTCAGGTGGGGTGCACAGAACCCCCGCGGAGGACCCCCAGGGCTGCCAGCCAACACCCCACTTGCAGAAAGACTTGTTTCTATTTTCCTTTGCATGGGAGTGTGATTATCCAGATTAGAGGCGGAACATGTTCTCCTTGTCACCCTCTAGTGCCAACTTCCTTGGCCTGCAAGGAGTTTACTTTCCATTTAGATCCAATTACAGGCTTAGAGAAGAATGCGGTGGGTTGAGATGAAAGGGCTAATATTTTTTCCGTCTCAGGACTGGGACAAACAGGAGGAAGACCACTTTGTAGTTTCACCAATGTCTTTAGCTCACCCAGTCAAGGGCAGGGAAGTGAGTGGGGGGGGAGCCGCTGGCCGAGCGTGACAGCAGTGATTAAGCCCTGTGTCATCTCTGCAGCATGCTGAAAAGCTTTTATTGCATATTTACTTTTTAAATCTGCAACAGTGGGGACTTCTATAGCATTTGGCTTCAAGGCCCATAATCACACTTAGGCGTTTGGAAACAATCTCTTAGAGCTGCAAGGGACCTATTTACACCACGAGATGTGGTTTAAAACGGATTCAAGCTGTCTTCACTGCCATGGCCCCAAAAGGGGAGGGGGTGCATGGAACCCCCGGCAACTGGACAGTCATAAGAAGATCTTGAAGAGACAAGCGGCCTGGAGCTCACCTAGCCAGTCAGACAGTGAGGGCCTCACCATGCATCACACACTCACGCCGTGCAGCGCACACATCTGGTCCCCTACACCTCCCCTCAGTGCCGCGAAGGCTCCCCGGGCTGCTCTGGGGCCATTTTGTTTCTATGGGGGGCAGGAAAGGAATGCCAGCATTCCTGGGTGACAAGGGCCCATTTCTCTTGGTGAAACCGATGTCTGTTTGGGACCCATGCTTCTGTGCTTGTTAAGTGTCTTCACGAATCTGGTTATGAATGTCCCTGTAACCATCCCCGGCCTCCCTTCCGGATGCCAGTCCTAGCTCTGCCGCTGACTGGCTGTGTGCTCTCAGGCAAGCGAAGCAACCCCTGAGTCTGGTCCTTGCTGAGAAGTGGGAGCAGCACCTCCCTCCCAAGGGGTCACGACCCTTGAGTGAGATGGAGTCAACCACGTGTTCTCTTTCATGCAGTTGGCAAGCTGCTTCCACATCCTGCAACTGACATAACGTTGCGTGGGACATTACGGAAGTGTCAGGTGTGCACTGTGGAGACATGTGTGTAGCTCTATGTCAAGCTCACCGCCGGGGCCCTGTGGTGTCCTTCACCGAGAGAGCCGGCCACTGTTACTGTCTGCAGTCAGTGCGTGTGGGTGACAGTGTGAGCTCCGAGAAGAGTCTTTCGGTGATGGAAAGACACCCTTTTAAGACTGCCCCGTCTGAAGAGCAACGGGCTTGCACTCAGTGGAGCCAGAGCTGGCTGCTCCGCCTCGATAAGCCAGGGAAGTTGCCAAACAGCTCGTCTGGTTCTGGCCCAGCAGACACAAAATCCCTGCTGGCTCGGTTCACTGGCCTCAGGCACTGGGCTCTGCGGTTGTGGACGTCAAGGGCCCTAGGGGGCGCTGCTCAGTGTAGATGTGGCCGTGGAGGATCAAGCTCCAGATCCGAGGTGGCCGGCAGGCTCCGAAGGAAGACCAGCCTGCAGCTGCCGGGGCCCCTGGGGCAGGAACTTAGGAAGGACCAGGACGCAGAGCTGGTGACCGGGCATGAGCCGGGAGCAATGTCAACGGTGGTTCTCCTAAGCGCCTGCCAGGCTCGCTGGCAACTCCCTACACCCCACCCCCCTCACACCCCTCTTGGCTTTCCTGTCCTCCGGCTCGCACCTCCCCTCTGTCCTAGCCCTTCCTGCTTTCACCTCCAGTTCCCGCAGCCCGAGCTCCTGGCACCCCGCCCGGCCAGCCGCTCCAACGTAAACACGGCTTCTCGAGAACTGGCTCCCTCGATCTTAAAAATGTATTAAGCTGTCACTTACCAACCGTAATGGCCACGGCCCTGGACCGAGGCCCGTAGGTGTATACGCAGCTTGGTCCCAAAGCGCCTTGTTAAAAGAGCAAGAGCGTTTCCAAGTCCCTCTGAAAGGGTCTCCCCAATCACGGCTGAAGCCATTACTTGGCGAGGGGCAGGTGCTGCTCGGAGGTGTCTGAGCCTGTGGGCGGGGTGGCCGTCCACCTGGTGGGGCGGCAGGGAGCCGCTCATCTGCTGCTCACCCCGGGCGTCCATCTAAACCACCTTCTCCTGCCCAAGGCCGGCGACACTGCCCAGCAGGGCGGGGAGACCTTGCTTCTCCCCTGAAGAGCCTGTACTTTTGTCTTTTCTCCCGAAGGTGACTAGGAAGACCCAGAATAGGCTGACTGGAGCCCAGGCAGGGCCCAGGGAGGAGGGACAGCGCCCCCCACAGGCTCTAACCCTCCCTCCACCAACAGCACTTCCCAGGAGGGCAAGCTAAGGAGCAGGGAAGGGAGGACACGGCTCCTCCTGCAGCCCATGGGCGTCCATTGGCCCCAGGAAAGGCACTGGGCTGGCCTCTGGGCAGGAGAATCACCCTCCCAATGGGGCACATTCAGATCCCCAGTGTATGGCCAGGGGAACTCTCCCCTGAAAGATAGAGGAACGTGGGCGTTCTTAGTTTTGCCCCCTTCAGCCAACACCATCCCAGCATTGAGAATGAGAGGGCCTTCCCAGCAGGCTGTCCTCACGTCTGTCCACTCTGACTCACGGGGCACTGTGGACACGCCCCTTTTCCAAGGAAGAGCTCAGCTTGGATGAGAACACGGCCTCCTCCCTCCAGCCCATGGACCCTCCCTGTCCCTGGGGGACAGGGACCCACTAAGAAATGACCATGGGGACATGGCCTAAAACTCTGTCCTGCTGAAAACAGGCTGTGGGTAACTTCATGGGGCATCAGGGGAGCGGCGGCAGCTGCTGCTGAAGTGGCCCCACAGAAATAGCCCCATCCTGTCATATGATAGTGGGAGGAACAGCTGGCTGGCAGCTGGCAGGACCTCGCAGGGGCGACCCCGACAGGCGTCCCCCTGATCGTGATGCTTCCTTCCCTTCACCGTGTCCTGAGCCCATTCTGAGCTTTGCATGCGCAGCCTTCTAGAAAGGCTTTAGATAAAGCTTTCTTAGAGAGCTAGAAAAGAGGTTGGGTCTCACACGTGCACCCAAACCTTCCGTCTGTTACCTAAGCCCAAGCATTTGATGTGGAAATGTAATTGCATTTGCGCCAAGACAGAAACAACCCTACCATTTACCATTCATAAAACCCTCACAGGAACTCACTGGCACGTTATCTGCTCCTTTCTGTGAGAAACAAATCCTTTCTACCACTTTTCTGCTCAGAAGGAACATGCTTGGTCTTAGACATATCACCTGTGGGGACTCTGGCCCAAACCGTGTTTGTGCTGTTAGGACACACACTGTCAGGGAAAGGCAAGGGAGAGGAGCGGCTGAGCACCCCAGGGTGCTTGACATTTCCTCACAGCCCGTCTCATTAGCCTTGAGGACTAGGATGCAAAAGTAGTCATGTCCTGCCAGACCATGGGTTTAGAGGAACTTGCCTGAAATCGTA